CAAAATCAAATTCTATGCATTCATTTAAAATAAGGAAATCTACACATAGTATATACATATGTACACTGTATATATATGGGCTTCCCCAGTGGATCAGTGGGTGAAGAATCCACCTGCAGTGTAGGAGTTGCAGGAGATGCGGGTTCGATCCTCGGGTCAAGAAGATCCCTTGGAGGAGGGCATGGCAACCCATTCTAGCATTCTTACCTGGAGAATCCCACGGACAGAAGAGCCTGGAGGGCTACAGTCCACGGGGTCACAAAGAGTTGGACACAGCTGAAGCGACTGAGCATGTTCCCGTGCACTGTATATGTATACACACAGGATGGAGTGGAAAAAATTTTGCAAAGCAGTAGGAATACATTAATAGTAAGAAGTACAAGATGAAAAAGTACAAAACATACAAGGTGAAAAAAGTACATGTACATAGAGTTTCTGGAAGCATACGCAAGACAGTTTTGAACCATGGTTATCTTTGGGACATGGGATAGGGTGTGGGGCTTTTATGCTTATGTCCCTCTGTACAGCTTAAATGTCTCTACAACTAGCATAAGTTACATCTATGATGTTTTAAAATATGAATTAAAAATTTTATTTAACAGTCATGAATCAGGCTCACTGCAGAGTGAATTTCCAGAAACTGGAAATTTGAGCTGAAATTTGTTTCAGAAGACTTATTGAGATAATCTTTATATGGGATGAATTTCCACGGAGGCATTTGTGTGAAGATGTAAGAACACATCAGCTTGTCTTTCCTAACTCAGAAATCCATTTTTCTCACCTTATTATGGCCAATGCACACACCTCCCAAACCAAATCTTCAGTCCATCTCTAGGATGGGTCTCAAAGCTAGGAATTGGTGAAGTCAGGACTCTGTCCCTGCAGTGTGACAATCAGTGACTTAATTCAGATCATGACTGTCACAAAGAAATATAGGACCAAAAGACACTTTCTGCTCAAAAAGGCCCAAAGATAGTGGATCATAACAAGTCTTTTCAAAATCTAGGGTTCCTATATGCTTCATGGAAACCACAATTTATTCTGCCAAAAATTATGGGATATTAGGCCTTTCAGAGTCATCTGGAACACATTAATAATCATTAACGTTTGTACAGTACCATGCAGTTTGCAAAGCACTTTTTTTATCCACTGTCTTACTCAATCCTCATAACAGACCTTTGGGGTAGGTAAATTTCATAGATCAGATTTTATAGATGTAAACACTGGGTACTGAAGGCTTATGCTTATTCCCAAAGACACTGAGGAGCAAAAAGGCGAAGCCAGGCTGTGGCAGCCCAGATTCTTACCACCACCCCACACTGCCTTCCAAGGCATCCAACCCAAGTGGTGCAGACAGAAGTGTCTGGGCAGCTTGCTTTTATTCTCTGTGTTTATTTGCCTGATGTTATGCCTTTGAGCTGGATGAGTTTAAAAGCAGACCATGGCTGTTGCCACTGTTTGTTAAACATCGCTACTTGGAGTGAACAGAGTGTAGACAGCAGTTTGAGGTCTTGGTCGTCTCGAACAGGATCAAGCAGGACAGACAGAGGGGAAAGCAATTCTTGTTGACGGAATGAAGGAAGCCATAGCACACGCTGCGTTTCCTATGGGCACATCTGTTCTTCCTACTTTGGTTCTACTTTAAGCTTTTCTCCAGGAAGTTCAAAGTGACGATAATAAAATGATCTTTCTAGAAGGCCTAATTTTGATACCTACTTTATTTCTTGCAATCTTCCATGTCAGAGAGCTTTCCTTTCCCAAGGTTCTTTATTAACTATCCACATCTCGCATTCCATTTATATTTCTATTTCCTTGCACATAAGTTCTATAGAGAGGAATTAAAATTATGTAATAATACCTTCCATTTATTGAGCATCTATTAACTGCCAAACAATGTGGTAGGGGGCTTCCCAGGTGGTGGTAGTTGTGAAGAACTCGCCTGCCAGTGAAGGAGGCATGAGACCTGGGTTCAGTCTCTGGGTTGGGAAGATCCCGTGGAGGAGGGCATGGCAACCCACTCCAGTATTCTTGCCTAGAGAATCCCATGGACAAAGAAGCCTGGTGGGCTGCAGACCTGTCAAGTCGCCAAGAGTTGAACACGACTGAAGCGACTCAGCACACAGGCACCCACTGTGGCAGACACTTGGTATATCATATATTACCTTTAAACCTTGCGGCACACTCTACAGGGTATAACTCATGGGTCTCACTTTGCAGATGAAGAAACTGAAGCAGAGACCGACTGGGTCTGGACCTGTCACTAGTGATTGGCAGAGCTGGGATACAGGCACAGATCCGTGTATCCTCAAAGCCAAGGTTCTGTCTAACTCACAGCTTGCAGTAATAATGCATATTGTATTAGCTACTGGAGGAAGGTATTTAATGAAAACGTTCATTTTAAAGTTCTGTATTTTAACAGTGAGCATCATACATTCTTTTCCTCAGCTCTTAAAAGGTGGGTTGGTGGTGATCTCCGGTGGTCTCAGGTGATGAAATTCAACCCTGATCCAAATGTGAAGCTCCCACGTCACATCCCTGACCAACCTTAGGAGAATTCTGGCACATAATGGACCCTTCTGTTCTGCTTCTGTCTCCACCTGGTCAGCTCTCAAAGGAAAACAACATTCTTATGATCATTGTGAGGTCTAGAAATTAACTTTTATTTTAAATCTGTCAAGAACTCCTGGCAGTTATTAATTTTATTAAAATGATTACATATGGCAAAACAAAGAATAGAGGTAATTCTATTTCTCTACAACATAAATTATGAGTTAGGGTCTCAGCTGCTGACTCAGCATTGTTGAAGATTTTTTTTTTTTTTTTAAGGGATGGGGGGGGGAGGACTTTCATTTCCAGAAAATATTAAAGCAGCAAAAGAAAAAAAAAAAGTAAAAGTAATTGCAACTGGAGATACTGCCTAGGATGTGCTAATTATAAAACTGTCTTGATGTATTTATAGACAGACTCCAAGCTTTGATGTTTAAAAACAAAAAATCATGTGAAGAGCTGTCCTTATTGACTTGTCATCCATAGTTTATAACATAGAACAAATTTGCTGATTATTTTTGAAAAGGTGGTAAAAATCAATTATGGCTAATTTAAATAAAAGAGCAACCAGCATCCATTTATCTAACTGAAATATGTAAAAACAAAAACAATTTTATTAAAATATTTAATACCAGAATAACTTATAATAGTATGAAAAAGAGTGAAGTACTTGTCCTTAGTTTTCACTGACATGATTACATTTTGGCAAAATTGTTCTATAAAGATTCCAAAGTTTTTATCATGGATCAATAACTATTTAAGGATCTTATAAACCAAAAGAACTCATACTTCATCTGATCATACAGTCATAACTTACATATCTTGCTTTGCACTTACTCTTACTGCAAACAGCAACTTAGAAAACAAAGTAAAAATATATATATATACAAAATATTTTTATATCAAATTATTTTCATTACACTAAATAAACCCAACCCCCAAATGTTATGTTACATGAAAAAGTGTCCTACAATTTATATCAAGACTGATACTGTCCATATATCAACTAGAGCAGCCTTTGGTTTTAAATGCATTTTGCAAAATAAAGAAAAATGTCACCACTCGGCTGCACTGTTGGCTGTCATTCACACTGACAAAAATGCTTTCCAGTTTTTTAAAAAAAAATTATAAAATAGATTACATACCCAGAAAAAACATCCCACCATAAAAGAGTCAAAGCCCTTTTACTTCTCTGAGCACAAATACTCTGTTATATTTGGCGTCTCTTCTGTTTATTCAAACTTCAAGCCTCCCTAAGCTGATGAGAATACTAACGTTTGACTGAAAAAGATCTTCTTTCTTGATATTGATTATTCTCACTCAATGATAGCCTAATTTAGAAACAAAATGTACTTTATTTTAATGCATGATTTCATCTTAATGTCCTACTTGGCAAAATTCAGAGACTGTTCAATGTTTGTTTTCCATATGTTTTAAATTTAAAAATCAATGTTGTGTGTATATGTATATGCACAGAGATCCATTTCCTTTATTGCCTTGCTCTCAATGCAGTGTAAGTTGTCCATCAGCAATTGTGATTTGAAATGAACCAAATAAGAGGGTTTTCCATATGAAAAAGAGCTATTCCATATGAAAAACAGTTTCCATCACAAAAAACACTGAACTCTAATGCAAATGGGATTATGTTTTAAAACTAAATTATAAATTGAGTTTTACACGGGAAAATTTTGAGTTACTTAGATAATGAAGTTTTTGAAAACTTTGGCAAAACTTGAGAAAAAATCCAAATCAATTTTAAAGAGCATCATGGTGTTTCCCAGCAGTGCTTAAAGACTTATTTTTCTGATCGCATACATTGCCATGTTCCTTGAACGTATACATTATGTGATTCCCAAGCCTTTCCTTTCGGAAGTTTGTAACCTACCAGATATCCAGGCAGGATACATGCATAAAATTCTCACTGTCACTCTGCAAAGGACATTGAACAATTTTAAATATTGCATTTTTTTTTTTTTAAGGAACATTTCATTTGGGCTGAAGAGATTTCCAAGCTTTAACATGTGAACTAGTGAACACATTTCAAGGTGTTCAACAGTTTTGGTTTCAGTCCTGGCACGGGAGGCAGGTCCATCCAGAAGGAAGCTCACAGTTTAGTAAGCATTGTGGTACTATTATTTTGAGGCACTGCTGCTCTGCTGTGCCCACGTTGTAACTTATTTTCAAGAAGCAAGGCACTTACTGTATCGGCAACACAGACATTTTACGCATACTTGGAGTAACATAAAATAAGTTAATATTTTCGATTAAAGTGGAGTTTTATAATTTATATGTCTTTTATAGAAGCAACTAAATGATACATTTAGGATGATTAAAAATAAGAAGAGGTCTGAGAGGGAGTCATTGTCACTCCTGCTCCAGCTCTTAGGATGAGGGTTTATGAAAAAAAAACACTGATGGGAAGAACAGCCATCCATCTGAAAAGTGACAAACTCTTAAAACTGCGGAACCAGGGGCACTTTGACGGTCTTCACTTCCGCAATGTGGGACGACTTCTGGATGATGCAGCTGGTGGTCCCCTGCGGCTTGTCCTTTCCCTGCGCGAGATTGGTTAAGGCCATGGCTGCATTGATCTCCTTCCAGTATGTGTCATCCTTGCTCGGTCCCTTTCTAGTAGCTGCACTGGATTTAAGCAGAACAGAAAGAAAATGATCAAACTCACAGCGGCGTACGTAGAAAAGATCATCACTGAAAAGCACGGATGGCAAATAAAACCATACCACTCACCTGTCACCCTTACTAGATCCATTTTCCAGAGTGTCTGTAAAGAAAAGCAAAAATTGGATTACTTTTTTTTTTTCCAAAAAAAAAAAAAACCACCACCAGTATTTACTTATTTTGGGCTGTGTTGGATCTTTGTGGCTGCTTGGGCTTTTTCTCTGGTTGCGGTGCACAGGCTTTTACGGGGTGGCCTCTGGTTGCAGAGCACAGGCTCTAACACACTCAGGCTTCAGTAGCTGTAGTGCATAGGCTCGGGAGTTGTAGCTCCCGGACTCTAGAGTGCAGGCTCAACAGTTGTGGCACATAGACTTAGTTGCTCCACAGCATGTGGGATCTTCCCGGATCAGGCATCAAACTCCCTTCTCCTGCATTGACAGGAGGATTCTTTACCACTGAGCCACCAGGAGAGCCTGAACTATAAAATAGGGGTTCCTGGATGACCTTCGGGGTGCCTGTAGCTCAATACTCTATGGCTGCCTGGAAATCAAACCTCATCTCGGGAAAAAGACTGGCAAACAGTCCCCTCTGGCGAGTCAGCAGATGAACAAATGACCCAATGCTGACAGCAACCTGGAATTCCTGGGGCATTAGAACAAGCAGCTCTGGTGTGTAAGGTCCGCATGAGCCCTGCATCCTCCACTGCAGGGAATGAAGGTTAGGGTGTTGCCTCTGCTCATGCATTTTCACCTTTGGTTTAGATTGGCTCCTTCACTCAGAACATGCATGTCTATCAAAACCACATTATTACAAAGGAGGATGAAATGGGTTCCTGGTCTGGATTAAGCCTCTCTAGGGGAACTCCTTTGGCCAAAAGAACCGAGATATTGGGAACACAAAAACAGACATGCTGGAGGGAAAGATTCCAGAGGGTAAAGAAGGGGGGAAGAACAAAGAATGGGGTTGGAACTCCCCATCATCCTTCAGTTCAATTCAGTTCAGTCATTTAGTCGTGTCCGACTCTTTGCGACCCCATGAAACGCAGCACACCAGGCCTCCTTGCCCATCACCAACTCCCAGAGTTTACTCAAACTCATACCCATCGAGTCGGTGATGCCATCCAACCATCTCATCCTCTGTCATCCCCTTCTCCTCCTGCCCTCAATCCCTCCCAGCATCAGGGTCTTTGCCAATGAGTTAGCTCTTCGCATGAGGTGGCCAAAGGATTGGAGTTTCAGCTTCAGCATCAGTCCTTCCAATGAACACCCAAGACCGATCTCCTTTAGGATGGACTGGTTGGATCTCCTTGCAGTCCAAGGGACTCTCAAGAGTCTTCTCCAACACCACAGTTCAAAAGCATCAATTCTTCAGCACTCAGCTTTCTTCACAGTCCAACTCTCACATCCATACATGACCACTGGAAAAACCATAGCCTTGACTAGATGGACATTTGTTGGCAAAGTAATGTCTCTGCTTTTTAATATGCTGTCTAGGCTGGTCATAACTTTCCTTCCAAGGAGTAAGTGACTTTTAATTTCATGGCTGCAATCACCAACTGCAGTGATTTTGGAGCCCCCCAAAATAAAGTCTGACACTGTTTCCACTCTTTCCCCATCTATTTCCCATGAAGTGATGAGACCAGATGCCATGATCTTAGTTTTCTGAATGTTGAGCTTTAAGCCAACTTTTTCACTCTCCTTTTTCACTTTCATCAAGAGGCTTTTTAGTTCTTCTTCACTTTCTGCCATAAGGATGGTGTCATCTGCATATCTGAGGTTATTGATATTTCTCCCGGCAATCTTGATTCCAGCTTGTGCTTCTTCCACCCCAGCATTTCTCATGATGTACTCTGCATATAAGTTAAATAGGCAGGGTGACAATATACAGCCTTGACATACTCCTTTTCCTATTTGGAACCAGTCTGTTGTTGCATGCCAAGTTCTGGCTGTTGCTTCCTAACTTGCATACAGGTTTCTTAAGAGACAGGTCAGGTGGTCTGGTATTCCCATCTCTTTCAGAATTTTCCACAGTTTATTGTGATCCACACAGTCAAAGGCTTTGGCATAGTCAATAAAGCAGAAATAGATGTTTTTCTGGAACTCTCTTGCTTTTTCGATGATCCAATGGGTGTTGGCAATTTGATTTCTGGTTCCTCTGTCTTTTCTAAAACCAACTTGAACATCTGGAAGTTCACAGTTCACGTATTGCTGAAGCCTGGTTTGGAGAATTTTGAGCATTACTTTACTAGCGTATGAGACGAGTGCAATTGTGCGGCAGTTTGAGCATTCTTTGGCATTGCCTTTCTTTGGCATTGGAATGAAAACTGACCTTTTCCAGTCCTGTGACCACTGCTGAGTTTTCCAAATTTGCTGGCATATTGAGTGCAACACTTTCACAGCATCATCTTTCAGGATTTGAAATAGCTCAACTGGAATTCCATCACGTCCACTAGCTTTAGAGACCCCAAAATACAGTAAAGTCACTGCCATCAACAACCACCACCGCAACCAAGAAGCTGCGGGAGGCGCTGCGCCGCACACGAGAAGCACAAGAAACATGGCATTTGCTCACAGGGGTCTCTGAGCTCCATGGTTTCTGGAAAGCTTTTTCCTACTCCCAGTCCTCTCCTTTCCTTCTTCTCTCCTAACCCAGTATTTCTGAAGGCCATTTTTTCCTCTGCAATGCTCAAGGCTAGTTAGGCCATGCACGCTAATGTCCAGCCCTGGGCTCCCAGACAGTCGTGGAACCAGGAGAGACCTGGGAGGAAAAGTACGAACATGATCATGATTTAGCCCAGCCACGGCAGCACTTCCAGGGATGAGAGGGAAGAGAAACTAGCAACGTGGCCACGTCAACATAGTAGCTAAACTTTGATGCCTTCAGAAAAGAGTCAATGAAATGTGTTCACACATCCTGAGTCAGGCTGTGCAGTGAAGACCTGAGACAATAACGGTCACCGTGAGCTCTTTGCACAACCTCTTCCTCAAGGCCCACCTCACCCCCATACCGAAAAAAAGAAAATGGAAGACACCAAGCGAAACAAAAGCACTTAGTGAATAAATGACAAGGTCGTTAAAATAAATGAAACTAATAAATAACTAAATGAGACTATGTGTGCTGCTGTGCTGCGCTTAATCCCTAAGTCTTGTCTGACTCTTTGTGACCCCATGGGCTGTAGCCCACTGAGCTCCTCTGTCCATGGGATTCTCCAAACAAGAATACTGGAGTGGGTTGCCATGCCCTCCTCCATGGGTTCATCCCAACCCAGGGATATTACCCAGGTGGTTCTTTACTATCTGAGCACCAGGGAAGCCCGAGACTACATACATGTGTCTGGCCCCAAATGGAACAATAAATGTTAGACCCTTTGGTTTCCTTTTGTTTTAAGGCATGTTTGGAAAAGTAAGTAGATCCATGAGCATTTGATCACCTTCTGGACCTTCTGGCCCCTGCAAGGTCGGCTTGGACGGTTAGCTCCACCTCTGTTGTTTGATAATTTTGGAGTTAGAATATTACTCAGGTAAACAGAAGAAAAACAATGACAACTTTGAATTCACAGAACTGTGATAATCCTAGCTTACTGACTGTGTCCTATGTTCCTAGTGTGATTCTAGGCACTTTGTGTCCACTTATTCGGCATTAGTAACTTTGGCCACCTGATGCGAATAGCTGACTCACTGGAAAAGGAGGAGAATGGGGCAACAGATGATGAGATGGTTGGATGACATCACCAACTCAATGGACATGAGTTTGAGCAAGCTCCGGGAGATGGTGAATGACAGGGAAGCCTGGCGTGCTGCAGTCCATGGGGTCACCAAGCGTCGGACATGACTAAGCGACTGAACAACTCTGCGTGTGGACAGCAAGTCTCTGCTGTCTGTTAAGTCTTTCCTTGTTTGGTGCTATTATCTGCAAATCTGCTCAATGATGACAGAGACAAGGTACGACCAGAACAGAGAATGAGTCAATGCCTTTGTTTAGGACAAGAAAAGCTAACAACATTGGACATTTTACAGAGAGAGAGAGAGAATAAAGAAGTGGGTTAGCCTTTGCTCACTTTTGTCCACAAATTGGAACCATTCTGTTGTCAAAGAGAAACAATAGGTTTTGGAGATATTTATTCAATGGAAAGTCTTGGCCAACGCAGAGTAAGGTCCATGATTCCCTAAATAACGTTAGGGAGATAACACAACCTAATTTAGAGAAGACCACATGACTTGTCTTCTGGCTCAGGGATGGAGCTCTCTCGAATGTACAGAATCAGATTCCCCACCTGGACTGTCAGCAGAGAGTGGTTACAGAGCAGAGGACAGGAAGGAAGCAGGTGGCTGCCGACTGCACATGCAAGGAAGACACAGACGTCCCTGTGAAGGTCCACGGAGAACCTCCTCGGCCCCCGGCCAGCTAGACACGGCAAGCACTCCCTAACTTCGTGACTGCTTGCTGGAACCATTCCACCAAGAAACACCTTGACCACGGCCAACAGTGAAACCACAAAACTCTGCTTACTCTTGGGGTCTATGTGTTTTACAGTTTGGTGCTTATGCAAATACACTTCAAAGTGTAAGCACAGAGACCCCATCCCCATTTGGGAGTTCTTCATTAGTTTCAGGAATTTTCACAATGTTCTTGCAACAAAGAGGATTCCTGTGCTTTATTTCCAGGGCAGATGGGCACTTAGTGGCATTAGGTATGGGTTCAGGTTCCTTTCCCAACCACAGAAGAAAAAGCTTCATAAAAATGGAATGAAAAGAAACAGTTTGCTTCTGTATCAGCCCAGTGTTAAAACAGCGTGTAACAAAGTTCAAGGTCGAAGATTTCAAACCAAGAAGGAAAAGTTGACTATGACGGCTTTGGGGGGCGGGGGGGAGGGGCGTGGTCTCTGTGCCCAGGTTTTAGTACAGAACATACACTGGTGTTAGAAGGGTGTGCTTTTCTTAGTACTGGTTATTATGCATCTGAGAGACACCCCCCCAACCCCCGACTCCCGCCCCCTCGGAGGCGCAGTTCCCAGAGGAAGCAGCCAGAGGAAGACAGCAAACAGGGGCCCTTTTACTCTGAAACATTCGTGCTTTTGTAGGAAAGCAAAGGACTATAAAGATG